GAGGGGGGGGGGGGGGGGGGGGGCGAGATCTTCCCCAAAGCAAGAAGCGAGCAACTTTCCCTTTGATTCATGCGTTATCTTGCACTCTCAAGCTTTGTACTTTCAAGGGGAATTTGAAGGCTGCTGAGCCGTTTCCTGTCGCAAGCCCTCTTCAGAACTTTCTGGCGCGCCGTCTTTTTAGTCACCCAAGCGAAGGGCCGATGGCTATGCGAGCGAACCACCGGTAGCAAAAGCCCCAGCCCGCCGGGCCCTTGGAGGGGGGGGGGGTGTCTCTTTTTGCAGCGCGCCTGTGTTTTTAAGGCAACCGGCGGGCGGGGGCTCCTCTGCCGCACTTCGCTGCAGATGGCCGAGGGAAGGAGCAGGAGCAGCAGCCGCCGCCGCCGCCTCCCGACCAGCGCCAACGTGAGCTCATTTCCTGACGACAACGAGGTGCCCTCGGGGTACCCGCTGAGCCTCTGCGAGGACGGCCCGGAACCAAAATATCTCTGCAGCCACTGCAAGAGCGTGCTGAGGAGAGCCCTGCAAACCGTCTGCGGCCATCGCTACTGCAAAGCGTGTCTGGCCTGGATCGTGCGGTGAGTTGTTGTTGTTGTTCCCATTGCAGGGCGAGTCACGTGACCCGGGGGGGGAGCGGGCGAGCGGGCGGGCGAGCATCGAGAAGGCACGCCGAAGTCGCAGCAGGAAGAAGAGCTGGGAGTGCGGGTGCGGGAGAGGGGAGCCTGGCAGCCGCCCTACCTGTAGCAGCGGCGCTACGTGCAGCGTGTGTGTTTTTTAAGGTGCAGGGAATGAAGGCGTAGGTCTGCAGACGGTCTTATTCTGAATAAGTTATTCACCGTGGGGCATGCCTCGGGAGGGGACCTGGCTCAGGGGTAGAGTAGAGAGCATCTCCTTGGCTTGCAGGAGGGCCCAGGTTCAATCCCCGTCGTCGTCTCCGGTTTAAAGGGCCAGGCAGTACGTGATGAGAAAGACCCCTGCCTGAGACCCTGGAGAGCAGCTGCCGGTCTGAGTAGACGACACTGACCATTTGTTGTTCAGTCGCACAGTCGAGTCCGACTCTTCGTGACCCCATGGATCAGCTCCCGCCAGGCCTTCCTGTCTTCCGCCGTCCTCTGAAGTTTGCTCAATTTCATGTCCGTTGCATCTATGACACTGTCTAACCATCTCATCCTTTGCCGTCCCCGCCTTCTTTGACCTTCAATCTTTCCCAGCATCAGGATCTTCTCCAGTGAGTGCTCCCTTCTCATTTGGTGGCCAAAGTATTTGAGCTTCAGTTCCATTATCTGGCCTTCCAGGGAACAGTCAGGGTTGATTTCTTTTAGGATTGACTGATTCGATCTTCTTGCAGTCCACGGGACTCTCAAGAGTCTTCTCCAGCACCATAGTTCAAAAGACACTGACCATAATAGACCACTAATCTGACTCGGGTTCATTTAGAGGGTCTGTGGCTCAGTGGGTAGAGCATCTGCTTGGCATGCAGAAGGTCCCAGGTTCAGTCCCCGCAGTCTCCAGTTTAAAAGGCCAGGCAGTAGGTGATGAGAAAAACCCCTGCCTGAGACCCCGGAGAGCAGCTGCCAGTCTGAGTAGACAGTACTGACTTTGATGGCTCAAGGGTCTGATTCAGTCTAAGGCAGCTTCATGTGTGTCCTTGTATGCCTGGTTAACATTGATTCCTGCTAGAGATGCCAGCCTCCAGGTTACAGCTGATCTCCAGAGAGAAAAAGGATGCTCTGGAGGGTGGACTTTATGGCATTGTACCCCACCAAGGTCCCTAGGTCCTCCCCAGGCTCCATCTCCAAAGCTCCAAGAGCTTTCCAACATGGATTCGGCAACCCTTACCAGCCCCTGCTGGTGGCCAGCGGAGGGGGGACCTGACAACCCTAATTCCCACAGTCGATATATTGGCATCAACACCCCAAGGGTTTAGGATAAAGATGCCTTGAGATTCCCTGATGTGGCTCATCCTCAAACATGAGAGGGGGAATACCTGGGGCATCCCACGGTTTTACAAAGCACAGCTGATGAAGCTGATGTAGTGGTTAGCCTAGGATCTAGGAGACTGAGGTGTGAACCCCAACTCTGCTGCGGAAGCTCATAAGAGAAGCCAATGTTGGATCAGGTCAGTGGCCCATCCAGTCCAACACTCTGTCACACAGTGGCCAAAAATACCAGGTGCCATCAGGAGGTCCAGCAGTGGGACTGGGACACTAGAAGCCCCCCCACTGTTGCCCCCCCCCCCCCCCCCAAGCACCAAGAAGACAGAGCAATCCCTTGCTCCAGACTGAGAGTTCCTATCTATGTGTCTGGGGCTGTGAGAAGGGTCTTCTCATTGTCTCAGATCCTTTTGTTGAATTGGACATGACCCCTTTGGCGTGCAACACATGTGCTCTGCGCATGAGCCTCAGCCCTTGGCCTAAACATTTTCTCATACAACAAAGCTGCCTTACGCCAAGTCAAAGTGCTGTGTTTTCTGCTCTGACTGGCAACCATTCTCCACAGTTTTGGGCAGAGGTTTTCCCCTTCCTGTCTAATATCCTTTAAACTGGAAATCCTGGGAAAACAAGGTGACAGCTGCATGGGGGGGGGGAATGCTCTGCTACTAAAGATATATAGAGCTGCTTTCTGCTGATCCAGATCATGGGTCCACATAGGACAGACCCGTCTGGGAACATCTTTTCCATGAAGAGAAAGGTCTTTCCAGTTTGGTGTAGTGGTTAAGAGTGGCGGACTGTAATCTGGGAGAACCGGGTTTGATTTCCCTCTCCTCCACATGCAGTCAGTCACAGTTCTCTCAGTGCTGTTCTCTCAAGAGCAGTCATCGAGAGAGCTCTCAGCCCCACCTCCCTCACGGGGCGTCTGTTGTGGAGAGGGGAAGGGAAGGAGATTGTAAGCCACTCTGAGACTCTGAGTGAAGAGCAGGGTATAAATCCAGTCTCCTCCTCCAAGACATGCTACCTGAGATCCTTTAACCAGAGATGCCAGGGACTGCAGCTGGGATCTGCTGCATGCAAGGCATGTGCTGAGTCACTGAGCAATGGCTGTGCATAAAGGCCATGGGCCTGTTTAGTTAAGTCTTGTCTACTCTGGTTCAAGAGCAGCAATGCATGCTCTAGGGGTGAACTATGGCCTCATCTCTGAGACCTCGGAGTCTGCACAAGGGGTGGGGCAGGATGCTGTGGGACCGTGTTAGCTGGCCTACCCCACCATTGTCAGGAAGATGCCAGCCTTGCCCTGCCTGCTGCTTAACAGAAAAAATCCGTGTGTGAGAGAGACAGAAAGGTTTCAGTCCAGAAAAAATATACGTAAAGTATCAAACATTTAGGAAATGCTGATATACATACTGTGTGCTTGGGAAAATATCTATTGCATTTAAATCCCATCCTTCCTTTAAGGAGGCTAGGGTGGCATGCATTCTTCTTTTCCATTTGATTCTCACAACAGCCTTTGGAGGTAGGCTGAAAAAGAGTTGACTGGCTCGGAGTCACCCAGTTTGCATGTCTGCAATGTCCCGGCTCTCAAGCCCAGGGATTCCCTGACTTTGTTAGATGGGAAATCCCCAAGGATGTCCAGGGAATTAGCAGGCAAACTGATGAACAAAAACTATTGAGGCAGACTCAGCATGGGTTCTGTAAGGGAAGATCTTGTCTCACTAACCTGTTAGTGTTCTTTGAGGGGGTGAGCAAACACGTGGACAAGGGGGACCCAATAGATGTTGTTTACCTTCACTTCCAGAAAGCTATGCTGGGGGTTATTAGGAAAGGAATTGAGAACAAATCAGCCAGTATCATAATGCCCCTGTATAAATCGATGGTGCAACCTCATTTGGAATACTGTGTACAATTCTGGTCACTACACCACAAAAAGGATATTATAGCATTGAAAAAAATGCAAAAAAGGGCAACTAGAATGATAAAAGGGTTGGAATACTATCCCTATGAAGAAAGGTTAAGATGCTTGGGGCTCTTTAGCTTGGATAAATGAGGACTGATGGTTGAAGTGATAGAGGTTTACATGATTATGCATGGGATAGAGCAGGTAGAGAAAGAAGTACTTTTCTCCCTTTCTCACAATACAAGAACTCGTGGGCACTCAATGAGATTGCTCAGCAGTCGGGTTAGAACAGATAAAAGGAAGTACTTCTTCACCCAAAGAGTGATTAACACATGAAATTCACTGCCAGAGGAGGTGGTGGCGGCTACAAGCATGGACAGCTTCAAGAGGGAATTGGATAAACATATGGAGCAGAGATCCATCAGTAGCTATTAGCCACAAGGAACTCTCAGTCTGGGGCAAGTGATGCTCTGTGTTCTTGGTGCTTGGGGGGGGGCAACAGTGGGAGGGCTTCTATTGTCCTGGCCCCACTGGTGGGACCTCCTGATGGCACCTGGTATTTTTGGCCACTGTGTGACAGAGTGTTGGACTGGATGGGCCATTGGCCTGATCCAACATTGGCTTCTCTTATGTTCTTATGTTCAGGGTTGCTTCCCAGAGACAGGCAATGGCATACTACCTTTGTATGCCTCTTGCCTTAAAAACCCTGCAGGGCCACCATAAATCGGCTGCAACTCAACGGCTCTTTCCCCCACCACCAACTGTTGTGGAAGGCTTGAATTGTTGTCCTCTCCATTTGCCTGTCCTCTGATATGTTAAGTAGCATTTCAAAATGAGCTTTGTCATCGGCAGAGCATTACAGGGTGCCTTTGTGTTCATGTGTGTGTGTGTGCATGCACATGCTGTAGGGTCAAAGTGCTTCCAGTCCCACTTGGAAACTTCATGTCTCAGAGGAGAAGGTGTGTCTATTGTGTGGGAAGGTGGAAGTATGAAAGGCAGTTCTAATGTTCACTGGATGAGCAGCCCCTGGGCATTTTTAAAAGTCATCCCCCAAATCTCCCCCAGAGGATAATAGGGACAAAGTAAGGGCAGTGATTCACTAAGGAGGGGCGACATAAAATAGGCCTCCTGCAGGGGTCTTTGCAGAGCCGTTCCGATAGACATCTTAGCTGCTCGTTGCTATCCTCCTGTCCTTTGGCTTGTGCACATCCAAGGAGCAGAATGAGGGGAAGGCTCTATTCTAGCCTGATAAGCAGTTCACCCTGCAAGAAATAGGAAACAAAAGGGCTGCCTGCATCTCCGGTTGGACAAAAATAGCAGTGGTGTATAAGGTAGGGATGCCAACCTCCAGGTGGGATCTAGGGATCCCCCAGAATTACATTTCATCTCCAGACTTCAGAGGTCAGTTCCCCTGGAGAAAAGGGATGCTTTGGAGGGTGGACTCTATGGCATTGTACCCCACCAAGGTCCCTGTTCTCTCCAGCTCCACCCCTAAATCTCCAAGAGCTTCCCAACATGGATCTGGCAACCCTAACCCCCAACCCCCACTGGTGACCGGGGGGGGGGGACGACGACGACTGACAACCCTAGTATAAGGGAAGGATCTGGTAAAGCCTCTTTGGTCGATCACACAAATAGAGATGGTGGTTAAAGAGCCCTTTGCCTGCAACTCAGCTTGGAAGAAAGTAGTTGAGGTTTACAATAAAAGGGAGGTGCTCTAATCTGGGAGAACTGGGTTTGATTGCCCACGCCTCCACTTGCAGCTGCTGGATGACCTTGGGCAAGCCATAGTTCTGTCAGAGCTGTTTTCTCAAGGACAATTCTGGAAAGAGCTCTCTCCGCCTCACCTACCTCACAGGGTATCTGTTGTGGGGAGGGGAAGGGAAAGGAGTTGGTAAGCTGCTCTGAGTCTCCAAGTGAAGGGCGCGGTATAAATCCAATGTCCTCCTCCTCCTCCTTCCAGCTTGGGAGAAGGTTGCCCAGGTACATAATACGGAAAGGGCTGTGGCAAAGCTTTTCTTGCTTTTCAAACTGCAGCAGGGGGAGGATGAAAAGCCCTTTGCCGTTCCATTTAGGAGGAGCTGTGGCTCAGTGGTACAGCATTTGCTTGGCATACAGGAAGTTCCAGGTTCAATCCCCATCATCTGCGGCTAAAAGGACTGGGTGGTAGGTGATGTGAAAGACCACTACCTGAGACCCTGGAGTACCACTGCTAGTCTGAGTAGACAGTATTGACCTTGAAGGACCAATGGGCGGATTCAGAATAAGGCAGCTTGATGTGTTCATGTGAGAAAGGGACTGAGATCCATAAGGGTGATTGTGTATGGGTAGAGTTGGGTAGAGCTATGCTGGGTATTAGACAGAAATCCTTTGAAGTCGAATCTGTCCCATGTGTCTTTAGTTATGTATCCCTGCTCTAAGGTTTTGTTCAGCTGAGGTCACTGTCTACAAATCTGGAGGTTGCAAACAAAAAGGCATTTGTTTTCCTTCCTTCTCACCCAGAAACCATAAAAACCCAGTTTGTCAGAGTTGTAAGGAGGAAGAGCCTGACAATGTGGATGAAGAAACGTTATTATCAATAGAAAAGGTATGTTTGGCCTTTTATTCAAATGGCATTACATTTTCATCTGAAGGAATACCCAGGGTTTATTCATTCTTTCTAGAGGATTCTCAGTTTGTGCATGCATGCACAAAAAGCCAATCAAGAACATCTAGGAAAATGAGAATATTTGTCATTAGTCTATTTGCTGTATTGCTGTAAACTAAATATTTCGGATTTTGAATGGAAGGGACAATGCGTGTCCAAGCACGTGAAGTAAAGATCTTTTCGCCACAGTGATCTTAGATAACTGATTTACTCATTCAGGAAAAGTGTGTGGTATAATCCTTCTTGGACTGTATCACTTTGACGTTTCATGACTGATTTGCTTTCTGAAACAGAGAAATCAGCTTCTTTCTTTCTTTCTTTCTTTCTTTCTTTCTTTCTTTCTTTCTTTCTTTCTTTCTTTCTTTCTTTCTTTCTTTCTTTCTTTCTTTTTTTCTGTGCCTTTATGGTTCCGAATTTTTGCTCTGCGCTGCTTCCCACCTTAATGTTGGTTTAACTACAGGAATTTTTAAAAGGAATTCCAGAATTGGATCAAATTGGAACTTTTAATACTTTCTTTTGATTTGCACCTTTGCCCTCCCCTCTTCTCCCGTTGATAAAATGCTGCTCAAAAAACCCTGTATTTGAATATGAGAGAACATACAATTGCCACACATTTTTTCAGTGTTTTAGTGGTGCACATGTATGCTCCTGAAAAAAATGCCACCAAAAAAGAATCTGGATTTAGCTTGCTGTGCAACCATACTGTGCTCTCACAGTGTGTTATTATCAGTATGCACATGCACATTGGTAATTTAACGGGGGGGGGGGGAGATGCAGCCAAAGGAATGGAAAACTACATCCAACAACACATGTGCAGTACCCTGTACAACATATGGGGAGGGGAATGAAATAGCAGAGGATACCTGGTACATCAGATCCACTCTGAAAACTTGGCCATTCAGAACTCTAGAATTTGGGGAGAAGTTTGACTGAGGAGCATTTTAGAAACATCCTTTGCCCAACATCAAAAACTCCTTGTGTGCAGGAGGGAGAAGGATTCTAATGTAGCCTTTTCCTTGCTAAGTATAAATAACCTAAGTAAAATGAAAAATAAATAAATATTTGCTTGTAATGGTTCTTGGCTTCTTCTCCCTCCTCGCAACCAAATGACTAAAGATGTGTACATGAAAGAATCACAACAAAGTTTAAATTTAACCACACTCAAGGAAATCAAAGGATCTTAACACATTAAAATAAAAAAAACAACATGAAATCATTTGTGCCAACAATTAAATAAATTAATCTAGCAGCATAAACGCATCCGGTAAAAGAAATTCAGCCATTGACAGTAAAACGAACCAAATACTAAAAACAGGGAACAAAAACAACACAGAGGCACTACAGAATCAACAAAATGCCTGGCAGATAAAAAGAGTTTCTCCTGGCATCTAAAGTTTAAAATACTGGGAACCCTGAATCGAGGTACCACCACACAAAAGGCCCCGGCTCTGGTCACATCAGCACATGAAGCCACCTTATACGGAATCAGATCATTGGTCTGCCAAGGTCAGAGGTCTTCTACATCACCTGCTACCTGATACATTTAACTGGAAATGCCTGGGATTGAACCTGGGACCTTCTGCACGCAAAGCAGATGCTCTGCCACTGAGCCGCAGTCCCTCCCCAAGGTGGTCACCACTCTGAATATGAGAACACACAGACTCAGTTGCCCCATTATATTTGGTTCATACGCAAGAAGGCACACTGGTTTTGTACATCCAGGGAGCTTTTGACGTGGGGAGCCAGGCTGCACTTTCCGTGAGACGTCTTTGCATCTAGAATTACCGAAATGTAATTAGTCAGAGTAGAGGACATTGATGGTGGAAAGCCCTGACCCGGAGCTGTCTGTTGGACTTAGCTGTACATTTGCTGTCATCTTCTTATAAAAATATAAACAGGATTATTGCCGACTGGAAAATGAATAGCAAGCGCTTTACTTTACAACCTGCAGACAAAGACAGAAGTGTTCTAGCTGGACTGTGCGTCTCCCTCTCCTTTTAATGAACTGTAGTCAACATGTATTTTCAGCTCTGTTTCCAGGCAATGGTTAATCTTCATACCTTTCCAGGACAATTTATGACATCAAACACTCATTAAACCAAGTGGCTCTTTAGCTCAAAGGCTACATGTATGTACAAACATCCCGCAGTCGATTCAGGTCATTATAAACAGACTGCATTGTGTATTAAATTGGGTTGCGTGGGTGTGGGAGGAATCCAGCCGTAGACGCTGAGAACAGATGAGTTTTGCTTTGCAGGAACTCATTAACGTTGCCTGTTAAAAACCTGTTTCTTAGAGGCTGTTTTGGAATCGAAGAGAAATAAATAAGAGGGAAGGCAGACATAACATCTGTAGAGTGTTGGGCCTCACTTGGAAGCACCCCAGCCATGTTCAGGACAAATGTACATTTTCATTTTCAGAGTCGACCTTTTAACAAGCCCTTTCTGCAAGTTTATGGCAAAAAACAAACAAGCAAGCAAACAAAAAAAACCCCTGGTTGTTAATGGTGCTGATTGGCTAGTGTCCATAATGTCCCTCGGTTCCTGGAGTACTTTTACAACCTGATTAAAATGTTTTCATTTTCTTTAAAATGAAGCAGAGGATTGACATATAAATGGATAAATATATATGTAGTGGATAATTTTTTAAAAAGAAACCCTGCAGGTAGCTTACCTAAAACATTTGGGAAGAGAAAGAGTGATAACTGACCGTCTAATCCAGGGGTGTCAAACATAAGGCCCGGGGGCCGGATCCAGCTCGTCCAGGGCTCTTATGTGGCCCGCAAGCGACTGATGCAAGGGAGGGAGTGCTGGTGGGGAGTGAGCAGAGACACTCCATTGTGGCTTCAGCATGTCAGAACAGCCTTATCTGCAGCAGTCAAGCATCGTGGGAGCATCTGCCCAGCGCTGCACAGCTGCCTCTCCAGTCCGCCCTTGTGGGTTTTCCTCTGCACCCCCCTCTGAGTCCAGGGGGCCTTGCAGTGAGGATACACCAACTCAGAGCTTACCAGCTGCTGTCCTTTATACAGTTTCTATCTCCAGTACCTGGTATTACATTTTATGGCACACATGGTCTGGCCCAACATTTATGTCAGACTAGGCGCAAGGCCTGTTGTGGGAAGAGAGACAACGGGACCTAGAGAGAGGCCACCGGAGGGCCCCCCCCCACGCACTGGCAAAGGAGAGCGTGATGGCTCCCCGGCGGCCAGGATCGCGCCTCCCCCCACCGCGCGCTGGAGGCGGCGGGGCAAGCCAGCTGGCCTCGTCCCTCCTCTGTCGGCGTGCTGGAGGAGGAGGTTGCCAAAGGCGGCAGGCCTCACTCATCCACAGCGCTGTGCGCCAGTGGCGGCGGTGGGCCAAGCCGGGCGGGCTGGCTCCTTCCCCGCCCGCTCGAGGGCCCGGCATGCCAAGGCAGCCGGCCTCTCCCCTCTCCCCGCCGGCCAGCCGAGCAAGTGAGCAAGCGGCACACGTAACGGTGGAGCGGCGGTGAGTGAGGGGCGGCTGCTCGCCGCCTGTTCCAGCTGCGCGTGCGCCAAGCCGGCTAGCCTCATCCCTCCCCCCACCCCCCCAGCCAATGGCACGACAGTTACCCTGAGTGGCAGCCAGCAGGCCAATGAACTCCAGCTGTGAAAGCCTTCGATAAAACATGAAGTCCGCTGTGCAAATTGCAGAACCAGAAGAATACTCACACCATGGGTGAAGAGCCCATTTTGACATAGCACATTTTGACTTAAAATGTTATATTTGTCTATACACTTAGAATAAAAGAATTGTCTTGCTGGATCAGACCATGAAATTAAGCTAGTCCAGCACTGGGTTTCCTCTAGCAGTCAGGCAATACCTCTGGGAAACTCACAAGGAAGACATGAAGGTGGTCCTGTTCTTTCTTCCGATACTGAAAGAAAGATTGCTTCTGAACATGGAGGTTCCTTTTGTCATGGCTAATAGCTGTTGTTAATCTAATGCCCCATTGATCACTGTCCTTTTAAAAGCTGTATAAAATTTATGCAGGTCACTAAAATGTGGTGTGCAGTACAATACGCGAGCCACATTTTCCAGTCACTAGAAATCAGCACCAGGAGGAGAGAAAATGAGAGAAATCTAAAAATGTGTCTCTTTGCCTGTGTTCTTTGCTTCCAGGCTTTTAGCGATGCTGCCATCAACAAGGAGATTTCAGAGCTAAGTGTACATTGTGTGGTCGCTGGATGTACGTGGACTGGCGTCATGAAGGCTGTGGAAGTAAGAATGAAGATTTGTTGCCATGGGCTAGTTGGGTAAGGGAGGGGAATGAACAGAGGAGTGTCCCAGCCTTGCCCCATAGAAGTGAGTGGCCTTGTGCTGTGAGAAAGGCACAAGGAAACTGGAACATGCATGTGCTTTGCTATTTTGTTTTAAGCTGTCTGGAAGATCCAGGGCAAAATAGCACAACTTAACAACAAAACACTCATCTTATTTCAGCTTGCCTTTTGGATTTGGCTCCTCCGGACCAGGGTTGATTAGAAAATAGCAGCCTGGTTTATGTCTTATAAAATGTCTTATGGAGCTGCAGTGGCTCAAGTGGTTAAGACGCTGAACTGCAGGCTGTGGAAGGTCGGTAGTTCAGCAGTTCGAGACCCGAGTGTGCCGCATGACGGAGTGAGCTCCCGTCTCCAGTTCCAGCTCCTGCCAACCGAGCAGTTCGAAAGCAAGAAATTGCAAGTAGATAAATAAGTACCATTTCGGTGGGAAGGTAACAGCGTTCCGTGCGCCTTGGTGTTTAGTCATTCCGGCCACATGACCACGGAAACGTCTTCAGACAGCGCTGGCTCTTTGGGTTTGAAACGGAGATGAGCACCGCAACCCTAGAGTCGGATTCGACTGGCTTTCAAACAAGGGAACCTTTACCTTTACCTTATGTCTTATCCCATCCCTTGTACCGTTGTACCCTTTCTGTCTTATAATGGGTTAAAACCAAATAAAAATTTCTATATATATATAAAAAAAGAAAATAGCAGCCTGGCTGCTGCCTGAAGGCAGCATGTGCATTACTTGAATCAGTGCTGCAAAGTTGCTCCAACTTGGTAGTGCAAGAAGCATTCTGCCCTAAAGAACTATTGCTGCCAACAAATACAGTAGGACAGATGGAAGTACAGATGGAGCATGGCTGGTTTCTCGCTTTCCAGTTGCTAAGGCCACACAATTGCCAGAGGCTTGTAAACATATGCTTTGAGTTTAAAGGGCCTCTTAGGATAGTGCCAGGGATTTCAAACAAGGGAGTCCGCAACCAGACCCTGGCTTCTTACTATCTGCTATTCTACCAGTGTAGGGGATTACCACAAGAGGGAGCGCTTAGGTTGTTCTCTGCTGGGCCTAGGCGCCACCAATGCAACTGGCCAGAAAGCAGAACTGCAGCTTTTGGTCCGCTATTGTCAGGTGATGCAAGTCAGCCAGTAGGGTTCCATCTGGCCCTCTAAAACCTCAGATTCTTGCCTGATTCTAAGCTCAAAGCTATGAAATGGGAGATACGAAATGACCAAATCCTGCAGCCATAATTATAACTGCAAAAAACCCAATAACCTTAGAACAATAAGTAATTAACTCTTTAAAAAGTCTCTTTTTTAATATAGCAATTTACTAAGTACATAAATATCAAATAATAGAAATAACACCTCTGTGTCCATTTAACAAAATCATTTTGTCTTTATGACTCATTTCTCAGAAAGCTTATAGGAATAAAAGTATTCATGCGCTGTCAAAGTGTACAGCATTATAAGATTTTTTTAAAAGCATACTTTTTAGCTTTATTGCGCTGTTTATTAGTATTTATTAGCTTTTCTATATATTTGTAAGAATCTAGTGATTGAAAGGGATGTGTTAACCAGTAGATTAGCACTGTATAAATCATAATTATAACTGCAGCACATCTGTTCTTGAGCTATGCGCACTTGTATCAAAACAGCCCCCATTCATACCCCCAAGTTCCAAGACTCCTCTTTTATTAACCTTTGGCCAATTTTTCTTTGTAATTCAAAACCTGGGACAAAGGGCTCTTTAGCTCTCTCTTGCTTCACGTGAGCAGCAACAGAGGCTTTGGCAGAGCTCTGTCCTTCTGATGCTACTCAGCTGTTCTGTCTTAATTTTCTGTGGCTTAATTTGTCCAGTAGAGTAAATATCTGAAGGTGGGGCAGGGGCTGCCAGAGCCTCTGTTGTCACTCACTCTGGTGAAGAAAAGGTTTTAGAGGCCTTTGGCCATGCTTTATTCGATGTAGGCATGAATCAGCAGGCAGAACTGATGTTTCAAGCCCCTGCTCAGTTTAATATAATCACACCTGTTAAATGGAGACCAGAACTTTAAAGCAGGTTTGCCAGTCTGGAGAAACAACTCTTGGTAGTACTTGCTGTGTAAGTCACTTCCTGTCCCTTCTCTTCCTGCTTATACAATATGAAGTGCAGTTTAGGTATTCATTTGATGTCAGCCTTACCTTTTGATCCCGAAGGATCCCCTAGGTGGCTTACATAAAATACAGTTACACTGGGAATGCTTCCACCACACCTGCTATGGCACAGCACTGCCTTCAGGTGGCATCCTACCAAACCCAGGTTCTCATTACACAGGTGTGGTTGTACCCAGACCCTTACATCCTATCTCATTGAACTGGCAATTGAATGGTCAACTGCTTAGCCCATTTCCTCTCTTTCCCCTTCACTGTCCCAGAGCAGAGGGAGAGAAGCCAGATGTGAAGCAGCTGGGGCTCAGATGAGCATCTTTTCCTCTTCTCAAAACCTTTCACTTCCAGGGCCATCAGAGCACATGTGAGTACGCCCGGATTCCATGTCACACTGGGTGCGGACAGGAAGTGATGCGAAAGGAGCTTGCAGAACACCTGCAGCATGAATGTGTGAGTGCCACCTTGCATTCCAGTTGTCACCAGAAGGTCTCTGATCCCAAGCACCAAGTATGATGGATTCTTTAGGGTTTTTTCCCGAGGGGTGGGAGAGAAAAAAAGTGAGCTTGTTGGCATGTGGAGGAGGATGCACTCAGAAATGTTTCCTTCTAGTTCCCTGAAACTTTTATTCAGCTGGGAAATTCTCCCATGTCTTTTCCTTGTATGGATCCACTGCTGTAAAGACTGCAGGTGGCCTGCAGTTACAATCAGCAGACGCTGCCTCCCTTAGAATCATGCAGGCCTTGCTACTTGGAGCGACTGTGTGCAGAGTGTGTGATCCGTGCCCTTCCCTGCATGGATTGCTTCAGGAACATTTGGGAGAGTCTGATAACTCGGCTATTAGGATGGGGGAGGGGTCAACCCCCAGGCTGAGGTTTGCTGAGATATGGCCAGTGCACACGATCCTGGATTGGTGGGAGGGTGGCCAGCTGACTTTGGGCTCCTAATCTCCATGTCTCAGGAGCAGCCTTCCAGCAATCACCACCAAGAAATCCATAGGCAGTCTGATGGATGGGCCTTTTCACCGTGTCCAGAGGTGAAAGGCGACCTCTTTATAACATTGCTGACTTATCAGCAGTTGTGAAGGTAGAGAAATGATGGGGAATGAATCACACTGTCCCCCTGGAAGCTTGCAGTGGGACTGAGTAGTGGAGCCTCTGCTTGGCATGCAGAAGGTCCCAGGTTCTATCCCTGGCGTCCCCAGTTACAGGTTCTCTAGTGCAGGTGCTGGAATAGACCTTTCTGCACCTGAGGACCCTGGACCATACTGAGCCAGATGAACCAATGAGCTGACTTTATAAGTGTGACTGACATTTTCACCGACTCTGCTCCTAACACAAAGACATTCAGCGAGGCAGGCTTTCCGCTTCACACCTGGAAATATCTCTGTGTCAAGATGCTTTACCGGCACTGGAGCGGGGTCAGTAGAAAAGGTAGCAACCTGGATCCCCAAGGCCCCGAGTTTTAAAAATCCACTGAAAGTATACTCTAAGAGAAGAATTTGCAGCCAAGGGTGTTGTGATGGTCACTGGCTTTAAAAGGGGGCTGGACAAATTCAAGTGGGAAGGGCCGTCAATGGCTGTTGTCTGTGTCCGTTAAATGAAACCAGGGTCAGAGACAGTGCTAATCCCAGCTACTGGGGGATAAGAGAATGGGAGGGGAGTTGCCTTTTGGTTCTGCTAACTGGCTTCCTGGAAGCATTTAGCCAGCCACCATGGGAGAAAGAATGCTGGACTAGATGGACCCCCTTGTGGGGGTTGTGTTCTTGTGTCCTGCTACGGCTTATCTGGGGGTGGCTGCCAAGTTCAAAATGGCTTCTCCCGCCCATGGATTAGACAGATTTGTGGGAGACAGGCCTGCCAAGACAGCTAGAAGCTTTGCTGTTCATGGGGCAGTCTTCTTCTAGGGGCCGAATAGCAAAGGGACCATTTTGGGGACATTTGGTTGGCCACTGCCAGAAACAAGGTTCTGGGCAAGATAGACCTTTGGTCTGATCCAGCTGAGCTCTTGTGTTAGAAACTCCCAAGTTTGGCAATTTCACACGAGCTCCATCCCTTGAGCTGGAAGAAACCCCGTTAATGTCGCAACTGTGTGCTATGGAAAAAGATCTGGCTTACTGGATTGCCTTACATCTGGACATTGTTTCCATTCTTTTGCTGACGATCTCGTAAACAGACTCTTTCAGCGGCTTCCACTGATGAGGATGACTGTCGGTTTTCCAGGATCGGCTGCCCGTTCAGGGTGAGTATAATGGCTGACCAGACTTCTGTGAATGGGTGTGCAGGAATGGGGGGGTACAGAAAAGGAACAATCAGTTTCCATACATTCTGGAGAGCATTGCCGACAAGCCAGGTTTGTGACTTTTAAGAAGGTGAGGAAGGGTTAAGGTATAAGATCTCAGCATGATCCCCCACTTAAAAGCTAGCCCCCCCCCCGAAGAAAGTCAAACCCCTTTAAAGAGCAGAATTGGATTGTTGTGGGTAAACCTGTCACAGCAGTCTTGCACCACATTGAATTTGCACATGATGTGGTTAATCGAGGTTAGTTGCACAGGCACTGAAGCCACCAGGGCCTCTCCTCTCTGAACTCTTCAGCTGATAGCATGTTTTATACCATCAGCAGTTAGGTTACATGAAGAGAAGAAGAGACTGGATTTATACCCTGCCTTTCACTACCCGAAGGAGTCTCAGAGCAGCTTGCCATCGTCTTTCCCTTCCCCTCCCCACAACAGACACCCTGTGAGGTAGGTGGGACTGAGAGTGCTCTTTTGAGGACTGCTTTTGAGAGAACAGCTCTGAAATAACATGTGACTGACCCAAGGTCACACCAGCAGCTGCATGTAGAGGAGTGGGGAATCAAACCCGGTTCACCCAGATTAAGAGTCCATGCTCCTAACTACTACTCCAAACCTAACCACTACACCAAACATGGAATCAGAGGTCGAGGGCACCAGCAGGCCCCCAAATAGAAATATCAATTAACTGTCAAATTCTGCCCTTTTCCTCGCATTGGCAAAAAACCAAAACAAAACAAGCACAGTAGAGAACGGGTTCCAGCTCTTGAGTTTCTGAGAGCAGCTATGAGGACTAGATACCCAGCTTTTGATTTCAGTGAAAGCGCTCGTTTTTCTTGATTTCCCCTTTCGATGTCAACTATCCTATCCCTGGTTTGCATAACAGTGCCACCACAAATGTGCAAACAAAATAGAGCTTGAAATAAAGACGCTAAAATAGTAGAGAAATGGGGGAAGGAGAGCGTCTCCGGGTGTATAAATTAATCCAGCCCAGACACCTGCAGACAGCTTGCATGTAAACATATGAAGCTGGCCTTAGACGAGCAATCCATTCGAGCTCAGCTCTGTCTGCCGTGGCCGTTACCAACCCCTGCATAGCCAAGAGTTGCGGGTCTGAGCTTCCTGCCAGTCTGCCTTCACTGGGGGGGGGGGGGGGCTCCTTCACCTCTGCCCTCATGTGTGGAGGAACAATACAGAAGAAATCCTTGCTTTCTTACAGGAGGCTGCCCACTGCATCCCTGCATGTGTCATTTGTCCTTCCAAGCAGGAGGCACACCCAGAACAGACAGTCATGCAGAAAGAGAAAAGCCGGTTTCTCTATGGATTAGTAATTATTAGACTCATCCAGCGTAAACGGAAACTTTTGTAGGTGCAAGAGTGACCACATGCCTCTGATTTTAATATTTTTTTTAAAAAGTGTGCTTCAGCAATCGGCCGTTTGAAAACGCTGTTTTGCTAAAATAGCCCTGCAGTCAGGCATGAGTCAAAAACGAGCGGGGCTTTGAGGCTTGTTCACATCGATGGCAGGGCCTGCTGCAGGGGCAGATGGGAGGGAAGAAACAACCCTTGGAAAAAGCCTCCCGGGCCCACCACCCTCGGCCAGGTGCCTCCTTCCCCTCCCTGCGTTGTGCTTAGCTGGGCTGGGTGCCTCCTTCCCTGCCCCAGATGGCAACAGTGGCAGCAGCGTTTGCCATCCACCCCGCAGAGGGCAGGGGCTGGCAGCTTGCAGGAGCAGTGGCAGCAGCCACCCACCTTGTGTAGAATGAGGGCTGCTCTCCGTTGGGGGTGGGGCTCCGTTGGGGCTCCTCGGCCCCCTTGAGATTTTTCCCAGTGGCCTTAATGGCCAGTCCACCCCCTGGCTGTCTGTCAGGTTTGATGGGCCCTTCAGCACAGAGTGTCCACAAACCAGGTCACAGCTCCCTTTCCTCGGACGTGTACCCCCTGGGACCAATATATCTGGGACCGACATACCGGCCTGGGACCGACCTATCTGAAGGACCACCTCTTCCTGTATATGCCCCAAAGAGCCTTGCACTCCCAGGACCAACACGTACTGGTTACCCCTGGGCCAAAAGACGTCCGCTTAACCTCAACCAGGGCCAGGGCTTTCCCCGCTCTGGCTCCAGGCTGGTGGAATTAGCTCCCACTGGAGATCAGGGCCCTGTGGAACCTTCTGTTGTTCCGCAGGGCCTGTAAAACGGAGCTGTTCCGCCAGGCCTTTGGGAGAGGCCACGGGCGTCTGCCTTTGTCGACCTCCCTGCATTAGTCCCCAATCTGCTGTATCTGCTGTAAGGGCCCGTTTGGTTTCATCTTGTGGCTCTAACAGATTTGTATGAAACTGTCACTCCCTGTGTGACTTTTATTGTTTATTATTTTTTAAAAAAAATTAATGTGAATTTTAAGTAACGAGTCTTGGACTCCGTTTCTCGTGATGTGCCCTGAGCTCGCTTTCGGGAGGGCAGAATAAAAAATCTCAGAATAAATACATAAAATAAAAAGTAAACTCGCTTCCTCCTTTGCTCCTGCAATTATGCTTGAGGGGAGCGAACCCTTCTTGCCCCCCCCCTTTTTACCCAGCCAGTGCTGGCACGCTGAAAAGGAACTCGAAAGAGTCAGGGCTCAGGTCCTTCTAGGGATTCTCCCGCCAGGAAATGGAAGGTTGCCCTAGAGGGCTCTGTAAAACGGCGGGAGCCCCTGGCCAGTCTGGAGGGACGCCTAGAGGAGGAAGCCCAACCCGGCTCTCTTGCGGCTCTGCTTCCGGTCCTTTCCGCATTTGCCTGCCACTCTGGGTTTTCTCAGTGTTCAAGTTGAGGCAAATTAAGTCCACGGCAAAACAGCAGCAGCCAAATAACCTGGGACAACAGCAGGCTGAAATCGGGCTGACCACCGAAGGGAGGGAATGTGATACAGAATGGGGAGAAACCCTGGATTTAAAAGAAAGTTGAATTCGATTTTAGTGCATTTGATTTAATTGCTTGGAGGACACCGCGGTGAACATAGGAGAGCGCCGAAAGGGCCTCCTTCACTGCCTCCGTTAAGAAACGGGAGCTTGGCTCAGCACCTCCAGCCAGGCCTGGGCCCCCTCTGTGGGCCTCAGTGGGTACCCCTCCCATGCCAACCGCTGGCTGACGACTGCCCTGCTTCTCCCTAACAGGGAAACCGGAAAGAGAGACAGGAGCACGAGAAGAGCGCCGCGGGGATGCACTTGGCTCTGCTGCTCCAGCATGCAAAGCAACTGAAGGGGAATCTGCACCCTGCGGGCGGCGGGGCTGACTCCTGCCTACAGGCAGCGAAGGCCCTGAATGGGATCTTCCGGAGCTTGCAGCTCACAGCAGCCTTGGACACGGACTCTTCCCCTGGGCTGCCTCTGTACGAGGGCGAATCGAGCTGGCAGGCGCTGCTGAGGGGAAGGGTGGTTCCTTTGTTGGACAGCAAGCTGCGCGTGTTTGAAAACATTGTTTCTGTGCTCAGCAAAGAGATGGACGCCTCGCGCCAGAAGATAGCGGCCTTCCGGGGTCAAAGAGGCCTTGACCAGGATACCATCCGTGGCTTGGAACTGAAGGTAAATGTGAGCAAACGCCTGGCGAGCGGCCTTAGCCCAGGGGGGGAGCATCTGCTTTGTGTTCCAGAGGTTCCAGGTTTTCTTTCCTTTTTTCTTTTTCTGTTGGTATTCTCCGTGTGCATGCATGCTTGTGTGTGCCTGGAAGTGGTGGCTGACTTCTGGTGACCCCTAGTGGGGCTTGGAGGCAAGGGACATTCAGAGAGGTGCCTTGCTATTGCCTGCCTCTGTGTCACGGCCCAGGTATTCCTTGGAGGTCTCCCATCCAGGTACTTGCCAGAGTCGGCCCTGCTTAGCTTCTGAGATTGGATAAGGTCGGGCTTGCCTGGGCTATCCAGGTCAGGGTGACTTTCATCATTTTTAATTTCATGTTGGAGACCTGCTGAAGTCAATGGCGTTAGGGTGGCCTCTGAAATGATGTAGGCTCTGCTGACATCTCACTAATGAGTGGGGTTTTTGCATGGTCCTTCTAAGAGGTAGGGAACCAGGACTTCAGAAACCCGGAGCCTGCTTCTCCCACCATCCCTGTTTACTGTCTCCGCTGATAATTCCAGATGGGAAGCTGTGCAAGTCTGGAGGAGCAAAATAAAGGAGGGATCTAGTGGCATCTTAAAGGTAAAGGTTCCCTTGCTCGAAAGCCAGTCGAGTCCGACTCTAGGGTTGCGGTGCTCATCTCTGTATCAAAGCCGAAGAGCCAGCGCTGTCCGATGACGTTTCCGTGGTCATGTGGCCGAGGCGCACGGAACGCTGTTGCCTTCCCACTGAAGTGGTACCTATTTATCTACTTGCAATTTCTTGCTTTCGAACTGCTAGGTTGGCAGGAGCTGGAACTAGATACGAGAGCTCACTCCGTCATACGGCACCCGGGTCTCGAACTGCTGAACTACCGACCTTCCACAGCCTGCAGTTCAGCGTCTTAACCACTTAAGCCACCACAGCTTAGACTCTAAGAATTAGACTATAAGAATTAATAAGGCATCTTAGACTATAAGAATTAATTCCAGTGTAAGCTTTTGTGAGTCTTGGCTCACTTCTTCCGATGCACACGCTGGTCTCGTACACACTCCAGTGCATGTGGTGGTGAGCTGACTTAATGCTGGAATCAGCGTTGTCCCGTCTTTAAGGGGCCACACTGGGCTCTCGTTCTACTTGTTCTTTATCGAGTGTTTGCAGGCAGTCGTCAGGCGAGTTTCCCACCCGGAAGCACAATGAAATGGTTCCCCTTTTCTTTCCCAAGCTTGCCGACCTCCAGCGATGCCTGGCACAGAAGGAGGTGACTCTAGGCAGGCTCCAGCAGAAACTCCTGCTGTCCACGGAAGCAACATACAACGGCATTTTTCTGTGGAAGATCAAAGATGTTCACCAGAAGTGCTATGAAGCAGTGAGCGGGAAAGTGTGCAGTTTACAGTCTCCTGGTAAGCGTCTGTCCCAAGGGAACACCGGTGTGTGCTGTAGTTGATAGAGGTGGGGGCTGGGGAGACCTGGATTCAAACCCCACTCATATGAAAATCTCCAGATGACCCTAGGCCAGTCACACTTTTTTAGCCTGTGAGAGCCAGTTTGGTGTAGTGGTTAAGTGTGCGGACTGTAATCTGGGAGAACCGGGTTTGATTTCCCACTCCTCCACTTGCACCTGCTGGATGACCTTAGGCAAGCCATAGTTCTGGCACAGCTGTTCTTGAAAAAGAGCAGTTTCTGTCAGAGCTCTCTCAGCTCCACCTACCTCACAGGGTGTCTGTTGTGGGGAGGGGAAGGGAAAGAAATTTGTAAGCTGCTCTGAGACCCCCTTGGGTAGTGAAGGGCGGGGTATAAATCCAGTCTCCTCCTCCTCCTCTTCTTCTGCTTCTTCTCCTCTTCCTCCTCTTCCCCTACCGTCCCGACAGAGCAGTTCCTCAGTGGAACAGGTTTCCTCGGGAGGTGGTGGGCTCTCCTTCTTTGGAGGTTTTCAAACAGAAGCTAGATGGCCATTGGACAGCAATGCTGATTCTGTGAACTTGGGCAGATCATGAGAGGGAGGGCAGGAAGGGTTGCCTCAGTGCTTAGTTCTCGTGGCCCTTTCGTACACGCCCAGGGAAATGCTGGTCGCCACTTCGGGGTCAGGAAGCAGTTTTCCTCCAGCCCAGTTTGTCTGGGGATCCATGAGGTTTTTTTTGTCATCTTCTGGGTGTGGAACAGGGGTTACTGGGGGTGTGGGGAAGGAGGTATTTGTGAATTTCCTACATTGTGCAGGGGGTTGGACTAGATGACCCCGGAGGTCCCTTCTAACTCTATGATTCTACTTCACAGGGTCGTTATGAGGATAAAATGGAGGAGAAAGGAAATATATATACTGTCCTAGACTGCCTGAAGGAGGGCAGGATAAAACTACAATAAGGGGTCGGGGCAAGGTGGTGAAATCAGGTTTCATCAAAAGCAGCCAGTGTTTCTCAAAGGGCTTGTGCTGGTTGTTGGGGTACAAAGGACAGAGGGAAGCATTGTCGCCTTATTTGCCCTGCAGTTGGACTTTCCCACGGGCACCCAGTTGGCCTCTGGGAGAGACAAGATGCTGGTCTCAGTGGCCTGATCCAGCATTTCTCTCCTTATAAATAGATTCCTGATAAGCAAGTCTGTTGGTAGTCACTAACCATAAAAAGGAAGGACGGAACCTCCACACACAGAGGCAGTGTATCTCTGAATACCAGATTACTGGGGCCCAGCAGCAGAGCAGGTCTGTTCCCCTGCTTGTGGGCTTCCCAGACGGATCTGGCTACCCACTGTAGGATGCTGGACCAGCAGGATCTGATATCAATGGCTGTTAAGCACAGCAGAGAAATGGTTTTGTGGTGTAGTGGTTAGAGTGTCAGATGAGAATCCGGGAGGCTCAGGTTTCGAATCTCCACTCTACCACGAAACTTTGCTGGGTGACCTTGGGCCAGCCACACACTCTCAGCCTGACCTACCTCAAAGGGTTGTTGTGAGAGCTGTGTAAACTGTATTGGGTCTTCATTGCATAGAAAGGCAGAGTATAAATGATGTGAATAAACAAACTTCACGAATCACAGTGAATTAATTGTGGCACTGTCCTGATTGGTAAATGCCCGAGTCTGAATGTAAAGCCTGAATTTTGACCATCTGCCTTCCTGTTTTCAGCCTTCTACACGTCGCGATACGGTTACAAACTCTGCATGAGGCTGTATCTGAATGGCGAGGGAAGGGGCAAAGGGACTCACGTGTCCGTCTTCCTGGTGCTCCTTAAAGGGGAATACGACACGCTCCTCCAGTGGCCTTTCGTGCACAAGGTAAAGGGGCTGCTCCTCTCTGTGTGTGTGTTATTTCCAAACCCCGCAGCTCTTGTAGTCTGCCCTTATGTTGTCAGAGCACAGCTTTAAAGGGGGGGGAGCTGGAGTGGTGGGAAGTGCATTCAGATTCTGCACTAAGACAAATGGTCTCCCACGATCTGCACAAATTATTCCAATCAAGTTCCATGTCCTTTACTGGTCTGGTAATTCTGCTTCTTTCATTTTTGTGAGGCATATAAGTATCTAGATTCAGGTGGGTAGCCGTATTGGTCTGAAGCAGCAGGACGGAGCTTGAGTCCACTGGTGCCTTTAAGACCAACAAAGTTTTATTCAAGGTATAAGCCTTCATGTGCACAGCTACCCACCTGAATCTAGATACTGCTCAAAATGAGGTTTTGAGGAAGGGGCTGTGACCCAGAGTGGACCCACTGCTTCTGTAGAAATCAGCTTCCTATGCTGGCCAACAATTCAGTGGCAAAGCTCATGCTTGGCACACAGAAGGTCGTAGGCATAAGGGTCATATATGGGATCAGGTAGCAGAGCTGGCTGGCAAAGTTCTCGACCTGCCCTGCCGCCGATGGCTGGTCAAGATAATCCTGGATCTTCTGAGTCTGCTTCGTTCTGGCTGGATCGTAAGTCTGTGGCCGGAATGACCACTTCGCACAGAATTCTGTATCTGTGTTTTGCTACTCTCCAGGGAAATGTTTTATTTAGCTCTAAAATGTTTTGCTCATGAAGCCTGCTCCATCTCTCTTGTTTTGCTATCTGCTGACCTTCAGATGTGGGAAAATCCTGGTTTTGCTTGTCAGAGCAGCACCTGCCGTTGCAGTGCATTCACTTATTAAAGATACATGACCTTTAAAAAAAAAAAAAAAAAAAGTATTATTTGCCGTTTGAATTCGCTTTGTTGTGTCTCGTTGATATGTTCAGCAGTGGCAGAGTGTTTGTCAGTCTCAGCCCAGTAGCTCGAATCCTTCCCTTTATTGAGGAACGTCTTGCGCCCCCAATCGAACTGCGCATATCAGGGTTTATTTCGCTTTACGAATTCAGTGTTTTGGCCTGGATCTTACGGATATTATCTTTGGTTGAGAAATATTGTATCATTAAGCACAGAGTTGTCTGTGGTCCTGATAACAAAATTTGGGACAGGCTTGTGGCTAAGTGATGGAGTATATACTTGCCATGCAGAAGGTCCCAGGTTCAATCCCCGGCATCTCCAGTAAGGATCAGGTTGTAGGTGACATGAAAGACCTCAGCCTGAGACCTTGGAGAGCTGTCTTGAGTAGACAATAATGACCCGTCCCTGATGCACCTGGGACCTGATTCTGGATAAGGCAGCTTCATGAGTGTTCCATTTGTGTTCCACGGAAATCTTATTTCCCTCCCCTCTGCTGTCTCGCAGATCACCTTCATGTTGCTCGACCAGAACAACGGAGACCATCTGATGAACACTTTTTACACAGATCCAACCGCTGCATCGTCCCAGAGGCCTGTGACCGATATGAACGAGGCCAGCGGCTGTCCCCGATTCCTCTCATTGGCCAAACTGCAGTCGATGAAATATACTTACTTAAAAGACGGTACCCTTTTCCTCAAGTGCATTGCAGAACCCTCATTGTGAGAATGCATATCGGAGCTTTTAAAGCATCAGTGGGTGATAAATACAAGGAAGAGCTACCTTGGAAACATCTGGAGAGCCGGAGAGCTGGTTTGTGTCTGCAGTGGGACCGAATTGCGCCTTGAAAGGACACCAGTTAACTGGGCCACGGGTGGAGCAACGTGTGCTGGACTGCCTCCAGTTTCCTGCTTCCAACCGCCATACCTTAACGATCTGACCTCCCGCCCCATGCAGGGGGCGATGTGTTGGTATCACCAGTAGGATGTTTTTCTTTAGGTGCTAAAATGTATGTGGCTAACACCATATGGTGTCTTACAGACCATTTTTGTGAGCAGAGCCAACTTGTTGGGAGCAGGCCATGTTGCTTTGTGTTTGTTTTTGGAGGGCTGCCAACTTATTAACCAGACATCCTCTGCCATGCTTTCAGCAAGAATCTGTCCCTGCCCCCATGAGCGAATCCGAAGCCCTGATGTCTTTGCAGTATGTTGAGGTCGTAGTCCTGCACACATTTACTTGACAAGGAGCCCCTCTGAGTTCAGTGGGACTTCTAGGTGCATGCGTAAACTCAGACTGTTAGGACTGTGGTTTTCAAGCCATCCAGTTCAGTCTCCCATAAGTGTGTGTGTTTTTTTAATCTTCCAGGTGCGCTGTACATATTACAGAACCCTATTGCATTTGCAGGAAGTTCTAGATCTTGCATGCTTCATTCTAGGGTCACCAGGGATGTACTTCTTCTAACCCCCAAGCCACCTGGTTGTGCACTTTAGGCAAATTGGCTGCGTAGGATGCAAGCCAAACACACTGCTTGGTGCCTTGTCTACGACTTGTTACAGGGTCCGCTCCCAGCAATTGCTGCAAAGGGTCAGGGAATGATCAAAGGAAGCAACAATGCTCCCTCTAAGCTGCGGAGTCCTATGAGCAAAAATTCTACTTTGTGAGCTACCAGCATTAAAGTTGTGAGCAGGCAGGCCATTTGGCCACTTCGTAAATTAGTTTGCTCTGGACTGGAGCCCTCCTTCCTGAGCTAAGACAAAAATCTGTGAGCCAGAGGCTAGAAAACTGTGAGCTAGCTCACACTAACTCAGCTCAGAGGGAACACTGCTTTTGACCTGTTGGCTCGTACCAGGATTTGTTTGTGTTTTCTCTGAGAAATGTGGCACACGTGTCAGCCGCAGCTTTGACTTCCCTTCATTGGCTGCAACAGCAGAATGGGGGAGCACCCCCATTCTCACAAAAAGACTGGGCGGAACACTCCCTGTACATTTTGCCTCCAAGCTCTGCCATCCATAAGGGCTGCATCAATACTTGCCTTTAAAAAAAAATGAAAACTGGCAGTTCGAGCCAGATAGTGGTGCAAGTGGGCTCCGGGAGAATCTAGACAAACCCGAGACAACTGAGCCATAGGGCAACCGTACACAGTTTGCAGTGGGCACTAGTGAGGTCTATTAGGATGCACCGTCGCCCCACTGGAGTCTTTGCCTTAAAACAGTACCTAGCATTCCCAATCTGGGCGCACTTGTTTTTCCTAGGAAGCTTTTCCACCATGACTGATGGTTTAACGAGCCCCTTGCCAAGCTTTGGAGGAGCCCTTAAACATGGCTCGAAAGCCACTGCCTTAAAAGATCCTGACAATGTTTGACAATCGGAGTCTTTTAAATAGAAATTCCAGTAGCACCAGCCCTGACGGTGGCTCTCCCTGTCTGTTTTACAAGTTTCTTCTTCCCGGGACAGTTCACAAGTCATTCTCATATTTGAATTAAATGAGGGGATCAAAATCTTTATGGGCATCAACTCAACAAGATGGCTCAACAAATGCTGCCACTTTAAAGCTCATCTTTGGAGGCAGGATTCTCTGGGCTTGTGCTGGGAGTGCATTTGCTCAACCAACGGTTGTGTACTGTCGGACTTCTCAGAGTATGTTTTCTGGCTGCTTTACAACAGTTTGGCAGCAGTGGGTATTGAGCAAGATTTACACTGCCTTCAGGACTAGCCAGCTGCTGTTTTGTTTTTTTCTCCTTCCATTTAAAGGGTATTGGAGGAGCTAGTTCCAAAACACAAGCAGGAATAAGGTAAGTGTTTTGTGGCTGATTGCACAAGGTGGTGCTTTGCCCTGGATCTTGGTAAATAAAAAGTTTCTTGACCAGAGAGATGGCTCTTTAGCTGTGTCTGCTGGTCCCACAAAATGATAACAAAAGGCTGGCTAACTACTCCCTGCCCAGTCCAAATATCTGAGATTAGCTGGCACTGGCAGCAAAGTGAGTGAATATGGCTGCCGTTTGTAGTACTATTATTTAATTTACTTATTTGTTTGTTTCATTTTTTTAAACTCCCTCTTTTTGATAACAATTTCTAAAAACAACAGTAATAACGAATATGGGCCATCCTTTGCCTTCTCCAGCTTTTCAAGCCAATAGCTACGAAAGCTGATTCCTGATTGTAATTATAACAATAATTAATCTCTGTCTCCAGCGTATCCATTGCCTTGCTTTGACTTTGGCAGCCAGCAGCTGCCTGCAGAAAACCAATTCTTTTCCCTACCTCTCATTCTCAAAACAAAAGCTTAAAATAGCCAATTGGATGGCAGCAAATCCAAGCCAGGAAATGAATGCCATGTAGAAATCAAAACAGCAGCTAATTAAAAAGCCCAGCCAAGGATTCTGTTTGCTAATCAAGGTCCGCCAAGAAAGGCTCACATCAAAATTGAGTGACTTGCAGTTTCCCACAGCAACCAAGCCAGGCTGGACCGCTGGATTAATGTGCAGTAAAATCATCTAAGAGAGAGCCAGTTTGGTGTAGTGGTTAAGGGCAGCGGGCTCTAATCTGAATCTGGAGAACCGGGTTAAATTCCCCACTCCTCTACTTGGAGCCGGCTGGGTGACCTTGGGTCAGTCACAGTTCTCAGGCCAAACCTAGCTGGCCACAAAAAGAGGTAGAGTTTCAGGCTTCCAGACAATCTTCAGTGGCTACACTACATCCACTGCCATATGATAATTAATTAAGAGAAAACGTACTTCCAGACCCTTCCCGTTTTTGTCCTTTTGATATCATGATAGGAAATATATGGAGTGGTAGAATATGACCAGCTAATCTGGACTTCCTATGAAATCCCGAAAACTTTGGGATTGGACTAAATTGCAGTGGATTGGCCCTTTAATGTACCAGGACCATTCCTGGAGGGGGTGCTGTCCCGAAGGGGCGTTGACAGCAGGCTGAGCCAAGTGGTTCCCGCTATGGGGCTGGGCAGTGTCACAGGGGTCACTTGGTTTGAATTTAGGCTTGGCAACAGTGGCAGCGGGCCAGCCCAAGCCTGTACTCATTGTTTGGTGTAGTGGTTAAGAAGAGCGGTGAACTCTAATCTGGGAGAACCAGGTTTGATTCCCCATGCCTTCAGATGCAGCTGCTGGTGTGACCTTGGGTCAGAAGTTCTTTCAGAGCTGTTCTCTCAAGAGCAGTCCTCGAAAGAGCTCTCTCAGCCCCACCTACCTAACAGGGTGTCTGTTGCGGGGAGGGGAGGGGAAGGGAAAGGAGATTGTAAGCCACTCTGAGAGAAGGGAGGGGAATAAATCCAATTCGTTTCCAACTCCCTCTCTTCTTTCTTCTTCATTATTGTCACCGTGCCTGGGTGTGAGCCAAGTGACATCTGTGCCTCAGCCAGCCCTTCAGGGGGCAGCTTGCTTTGTCTCGCTGCAAGACTTTTCTAACATCCCAGGTTGCCCCTGGATGACGCTAAGGATTTTACAGTTGCAAAACTGTGTGCCAGGAGAGAAGCAATAACATTGTGCAAGTGGTTAATAGTGTAAGGCCGCTGGGAGCCCACATACCACTCTCACAGATCGGGTTGTGTCTCTGTATACTTCAGTGCTCTGACATTGTTTGTTTCCAGTCACCTTCTACTAGGGATGGGTGATTCTGTACGTCTGGTCTAGAGTCATTCCTGACTCTAGACTCAACATTACCCCCTCCCTAAAAGCAGACTGCACGTTGAATCTCTGCATGTGTTACATCTTTCAAATATGTTCAGAAAGGTGACTCATGCAGAAACACAAGGGGTAGACTCTTCTGAGGGTGGGTAATTCCCGTTTATTCATGGTCTACCTGATATGGTTCCAAGGTTAAGACTGGTGTTTGTAACTCTGGTTTTGATTCGGGGGGGGGGGAATTTGCCTCAGCTAATAAAAACATGGCCCCAGCAAAGAGATTTATGATAAATGATTAGTAGATTCTGCTCCATAAATAACCAGTTGAAGGAAAGTGCTCCAGAGAGAGTCCCACTGCTCTCTTACCAGGATGTTACCCTCCTTTGGGACAAGGCATCTCAGGATAGCATCCCAGGATGCAGTTCAGCTAGCCAGTGAGCAAGTCTATAGGTCAGCTGTATGTCAGTCTCAATTAATTATTAGGATCGATTTGGACTTCAGTCATTCAGGCCACTTGGGTGGGCTAGAAGATGCAGCCAGGGGCGTAGGAGCCAAAGTTGATTAGGGTGGAACTCGGGGAAAAATCTCGAAGTTCAGAAGCAAAAGAGTCTGTAGCATGGGATGGTCTGCCGATCTGGAACTACCCAAGATGCAGTGTGTACCCAGTTTGCTTCCTTTGTTGGACGCCTTTAAATATCCTCATCCTTCAGAACATGACATATTTCCTTACCATGGAGCAGACAGAAAACTGACAATTGCTCCTCCAACAAGTCTGAAGGACTCCTTTCTGTTTCTGCCCCATCACTTTCCCCATTTAATTTTTGTCCCACACCTGGAACTTAAGAAGAAGAAGAGATTGGACTTATACCCTGCCCTTCACTACCCAAGGGAGTCTCAGAGTGGCTTGCAAACTCCTTTCCCTTCCCCTCCCCACCACAGACACCCTGTGAGGTAGGTGGGGCTGAGAGAGCTCTGACAGAAACTGCTCTTTTTCAAGAACAGCTGTGCCAGAACTATGGCTTGCCCAAGGTCATCCAGCAGGTGCAAGTGGAGGAGTGGGGAATCAAACCTGGTTCTCCCAGATTAGAGTCCGTGCACTTAACCACTACACCAAACTAAAATTTGTGCATACACACATATCTCCTCTTCCAGGAATTGTAAGCTTCATGGCTGCCACTTGCCAATATATGTTTGGTCACATCAGTCAAATTTTGTTCTGGCAGTCAACCAGCTCGGCAGTCCGTAAAACCAGATTCTTCCAGACCCGGCTACCAGATTCTGGCTCTGCCCCAACTTTCCCGATTTTTGCAGCCCGGAGCCTGCAAAAGAATCTGGGTATGATTCGCCCAGGCTCCTCCCTCGCAGCTCCACTCAAGAGGCCAGCATTTGATTGTTTGTTTATAGCCCGCCTTTCTCACAGAGACTCAGGGCGGATTCCACAGTGTAAAACAATGTTTGGTTTTAAATCAATATTGAATTTCCACAATCACATTTGTAACTAATAAAGGTGGGGGAGGGGGGTGTTTAGAATGGGAACCACAAAGTAACCAAGGTCCCTGCCACATGGCAGAATAAAAAACGGGCAAAGTGCGGCTAATCAGAGCCACACCAAAATAGAGACGCCGCGGCGGGATCCCACGGATCCCCTGAGCCGCGGCGCCGTTGCTCCCCAGCACAATCAGATGGGTCAGGAGGGAGAGGCTGCCGAACTGTGCATGTGTGAGCATGCGCAGTTCGGCCAGGAGCCAGGGATACGAAGGCAGAAGGAAGCACCGGCGATCCCACGGCCGGCCTTGATGCGGCCTTGCCGGAAGAACCACCTCAGTAGGTGGTTTATTTTTGCTGCGGCATTTTGGGCGGAAGGGCTGGATCGGGGAGGGGTGCGCAATGCTTCCCAGATGTTGCGGTGGGATCGCGCCCGTTTGCTGCGCCCCCGATCCGTCCCTCTCCCGGCCCAAAACCTCTCGTGTGACCGTGGCCCAAATTTAGCAGGGAAGCAGATCTGCCACTTAGAAACAACAGTTTGTAAGGCTTCGAGAGCAAAAGGGGAGCCAAGCAATGCTCTGGACAGTGACCAAGAGTTCAGTGCCATCTGAGCACCAGAAAGTTTGCAACCCTTTCATGTCGCGCCAGCACCAAAAGAAGTTGGCGGGCTGGACTCGAGCGCAAGGTGAAGGTTCTTGGAATGAGAATAGGGTCACCCCTTCTGAGAAAAACTGCCATTCTGGATGTCTTGTTTCTCATTTTAAAAGCACACTTGTGAGGATGGTTAATAGAAGCAGGAAAGAGCCATTGTGAATTAGAACCCTGCAAAATTTCTCTCTCTGCTCTTAGTTTCTCTTTGAATGACATGCAAGTGACCTCTTGCAGAGCTCATAAACCTCTCCCCCACATGCTTGTCTGCGTACCTCAGGCTCTGTTCTGCATGCCTTAGTCACACACAGTGAGCGCATCCACTTGCAAGGATCAGGGCAGTTACTGCAATTGCCCTGAGACTATGGAATGAGCGGCCCGCTTTCCCTCTCTGCTTTCTTCAAGGGATATAAAACCCAGCCATTCCAGATGACATTTGACAGCTGACTCGTTTGTCGATGCTATGACTGTGTTCGGTGGCTGTTGAGGTTGCTTTCATTAGCTTCATGGTTTTGTATGTTTAAATGATTGTTTTGTGTGTGTGCTTGTTCTGGCGCGGAGTGTAAGCTGCTTTGAGCATGGGTAGAGCAGCATGAGCAATCATTTAAAATAAATCTTAACTTACAAAGGTGTATGTTCTTTCAGAAGTCCTGGCTTGCTCTTGTGGCATGCCTCTTTCAAAGTTTATCTCGCGTGCCATGATAACTGCTTCTAGCTATCACCAAGAAACCTGAATTTGAGAAAGAAACTCAAGATAGACAAGAAATGCAAGAATTCAGGCATGATTTGATCTAGAATCCGCTGCTTTATCTTTTTGGCGGTCCAGGGGAGGCCCATCGCTAGGATTTTATTGGGGGGGCTTTC